GAGAGACCCTTGACTTTCCAGTGAATTTGTCGTGTAGACTCGAACAGATACAACCCACCAACATCATTGAAGAAACCGGCGGAGATCTTCATAGTTGCCTGCAAATAATATAAGTTTTCTTTTTTCTGGAAACCAGTTTGATCGTTTGTAAAAGAAACTAATAGAGAAAAGTTTTCCACTTGCCTTTAGGCTAAGATTTGAGATAAAAGCTGTGCATTGGTCCATATACACTTTAGTTTTGCCAGAGTCGGAGGCTTTCATCTGCTGGTCATTCAAATTGTCTTGTTTCTCAACCTTGGCTTCCATCTCTTCAGTCTTGTCCATGTTATTTACTTCAGCTAAGTTGTGCACTTCCATTTTCTTCGAGTTTTGACCTTTATTTTTCTGCCGCTTGGCTGGCAACAGTTCATTAGCCATGCTTGGACCTGGCTTTCTCTTTTCATGAGAAGTTCTTTTGAGGACTTGTTCTTGCTGATGTGTTGATGTATTATGTGCTTTAGGTTCCTGTTGCAACCTAAATAATCGCAGCTCTTCCAGACGCGGTGTAACCTGAGATGGGCAAGGATGGACAATCTAGTTAACAAGCATTTGACAGTACATTTTTGTGATGGAGACAAGCTAATGCACTAACCAAATATATTATTCCCAGTAACATGAACGTGTGTGCCCAGATTGTTTTTTCAAAAACAGTAGTAACAGAAAACGACTTTTCGGGTATCAGCAGTCCTCTCTCAATCCATTTTTTCACAGCAAGTTATACTGTTTCTGCTAGAGCGTTACCAGGATTGTAAAAACTAAGTCATCAAGGTGCTTAAGTTGCATCCACAAACTAAAGATGGTCCAAAATCATGCTGAGCATTAGAATTGCAATGGTGGCAAGAAATTGTACCTTTTGTACTGCATGGTCATAATCCTCCAATGTACCGAATTCCCTCTCAAAGCGCAGCCAAGCATTGCATATGTCCTGAATGATTCTGTTTTTTTAGGAAAGGAATGTATCATCTAATCCCAGTGCATGACACAGCAATTTAACCAAACCTTAATAGGACAGTTATTCAAAAGTGCTAAAGGCAATCCTGAAGCAAGGTATCCATTCTCAAACAATAAAAAACAATAATTGCAACTAGACTGAAAACATAATACTAGTGACAGTGAACACGGACAATAAAGCTAGAAGCTTTCTGAACTCCATTGAACATATAGCAACTAGCTTTAGCTCAATATAACAAAATCACATACTCCTAAAAGTGGTTGTAAGTCGTTTCTTTGAAGTCTGTCTGTCCTAGCAAGGAAGGAGGTCGTATGCAAAATAACTCAGGAGAACAATCTATCAAAGAAAGTTCTTTGTAATTATTATTTATTATCTTATGTTATCTCAAAAAAAGATATTTGTTATCTTATAAAGTCTTTTTCTCTCCTTTCTTAATGAAGTGTCTTTTTCTATTAAAAAAAGGATCTTACGAAGTATTATACACATGTTAGTATTATTAGAAACTAGAACTTCTCCACTTTCTTTTCATTTGAAAAAAGAAGTACATCGAAGAAAAATAGAAGCTGTGAGAAAGATGAAGAAGATAAGAGATTCTCCCAACATAAAAGAAAGAATAAGAGAAAAAAATTACCCAAAAAAAGGAAATTTAAATGCCTTAAGAAGTAATAGATATCGAATCTCTAATAATAATCATATTCCCCAACAACTCAGCTAACAACAAAGATAAGAACTTAGTACTAATCCTATAGACACCAGTCGCCATGCTAATAGGACAAATATCAGAAAACTTAATGGACAAGTCCTTTTAACAGAAAAGAGTATCATGCTAATCCCCATTCTCCCACTCATACTAAACTCCTGAAAAACCTTGAGGGCAATCCCCTTTCATAAAATTTCAAACAGTTTTGGAAGAAATCAATAGGGAACTAGCCACGCCCAGAAAGTTATCAGTCCCCAAGTCCCAAAACAGTTTTGGAAGAAAACAATAAAAACCTTGAGATCATCAGTTGAACTCCAACCCCTCAATGAATGGTCCACTTAACAGCCACTGCCAATAAACAAGCAAGCTCTTGTCATTTTTGTTGCAGTGCATGTAGTGAGTCTTATGTTAGGTTATGTTATACAACCCTAATGAAATCACCCATATCCTCCTCAGTCGCTCTAGTGTATATGGCCATTTGGATGGAAAAACACGTTCTTTTATCTTTAGGAAAAAGATAGAAGGTTTTAAAACCTACAACTGCAGTAGAGATCAAGAAGAATGAAGAGAAATGGTCCAAAAAATCTCCTATTTGCATTAGAAGCAAGCAAAAGGAACAATTCATCATCGCTTTTTAGCTTCCATCATGAAAAAAAAATAGAAAATGATAGACGTTGCTCAGTGATCCTCTAAAGACCTTTGCAACAACAAAATTTAAGAACCCCGAAAGAACAAAGAAAGCAATAATTTATATCACATGATACCGAGCTACAAGGAGAAGAAAGCTACCTCTGAACCCATTCCAGCAAATCTTTTACTGTAACATCTCCGATAAATGGACCTAGCTTCATTGATATGATCCAATTCCTTCTCCATTGCAATATAACCTTGCCAAGCTTCTAGCATCGAACCACTTGATTATATTTTTTAAAAAAAGCAAACACATCAAGATGAGAAGTTAATAAATATTAAAAATTAGTGTGCTAAGAACTTCAAGAGACAGAATCAAGATAAGGACAAACCAATTCTTAAGCAATCTTTCCCAAACACCACGAGCTGCACCTAAATCTTTTCCAAATTTTAGCTCCAGACGGGCCCAATAAGCATGCAAGCACAACAAACCATCCGTATTCTTCATGTGCGGTGATAAGTAGTCTGATGCTTGCTGAAAGTTTCACAAAAGTTTGACTTTTGTAAACAGTGCAATTTATAAATAACATATCAAGTTCGGATTTGATTGATAACACGCAGGTTACCAGCTTAAGCATAACTAACTAGTTATCCAACCATACTTAACGAAGTGTCTGAAAAAAAAAACGATGCACAACAGTAAGCAAGAACCATCTATCTCACACTCATCTACCATAGTCCCATCTTTTCCTCTACACAGGAAATTCTATAGAGAGAAGCACTTCAACAAATTAATGGTGATATTGACAAAGAAACCACACCCTTCCTCCTCCCAAGAAAATACATTTAAGAATTTTATGGAAATATGTAAATTTCTTACATAAATAAATCTTTCAAACATATATTAAATATTTCTTTTGATAGAACATTGGACCTTGAATGATAATTAGATTCTTTCAGGAAAATCAATAGTTAGGAGGTTCAGTTATAAAGGAGGAGAAGTACTGAAATTTTAAACCGTTATCAGTTAAGCAGTGCAGGTGAATGAACCTCAAAAGTTCCCCTTATTAATGAATAATCCAATGTGACGTTTCCTTCACTAGCAGATGAAATTCTTCGCCTCAAGCCATCTACACGGGTAAGGAACAAATCTAGATACTGAGACAAATGGAGTAGAAATGATTAGGGCATTCAAATGGACAAGAACAACAAAAATAAAGAGTGGGGTATTGCAGAAAATGCATGCACATACCTCCTCATGGGTTGAAAACGAGCATTGCAAGGATTTCTCGAAAACCTAAAATAATGAAAAAAAAAATAGATTAAACAACATAGTCACAAAAATAGAAGAGAGGAAAACATATTTTTCATTACCATCAAGGACACTAATGCATAACATACATAATCCTATAACATCAACTCTTTCGGAAAGCATGTCAAGATTAATACATGCATGTATACAACCACATAGCAGAAAAAGTACCATACATGATTGTCATCTATTATTTCTCAAAAAAAAAAAAACACGATTGTCATCTAGCAGGCATGAACTGTGCTCAACTGCAAAGACCTAGTATACATTCAAAAGATGCAAGATGAATGTGAAAATGAAAAACAACAATTCCGCTTACCAAAAATAGCTTCAACGGATTATTGCATATTACTCTGGAAAAATAGAAAAATTGGAAAAAAAAAAAATAGAAAACTAATAGTATTCTTGGGGGCCAGGAGACAAATTAGAAAAAGGACAAAAACTGATATTTAGGATTTTATTTCAAGAGAAGAAAATACTTAATCTAACAAGAAAAACCTTACAAAAAGAAAAGAACTATAACCTTCAAAAAAGAAAAGAATAAAATAACATAAAACCAGATCAAATGAAACAAAAGAGAAATTGAAGGCAAAGCTACATTGTGTCACAAAATGCTAGAGCTACTAAGTTATAGTTTGACCTAAATTTAAGATAGATTTTGGAATTAATAGATCTACATACCTATTAAAATTTAAACACTCATCTTTATCAAAAGAAAAAAAGCAAATAATTTTCTTAATTGAAAACTTTGAGCGCATCATGTAACTTTTGGGTAAAATGAACTTGGAAAGTTTGTTTTCATTAATTTTATTGCAAACATCAAATCCTTTTATTCGAAAAGGAAAAAATTAAAATATTCAAAGAGCATCAGAGGGTGCAATTCGTGTACAAAAATATTCACAACTCCCATGAAATGTATATAAGGTCTCCTAAATCCTGGCTAGAATATTGCAGTGACCCTTAGTCAAAAAACTTGGGGTCTATAATCATGAGTCTTTAAATCTATCAAAGTTAAATTCCATATCCTCAAAAGTTCTCCTATTCTTCTATTTCCAAATTGTCCAAAAAGTATTCAAAAAAATAAGCCTAATACCTTCCTACACTCAAAGCTCCTCCCTCACTCCCAAAAGGTAGCCAAAGACCAAAGGCAAATTGCGTATGGACACCAAAAGAAGATATGATCACAGAGACTCTCTGCTCTGTTTTTACATAAAGAACACCCACTCACCAAGATTTTTTTCCCCTCTTTATCAACTTATCTAGGGATGACTTTTTTTCCCTAAACTCGTCAAATTCAACACATTGACCAAGATTATTATGGGTCTAGAAATAGAAAATTCAGAAACTAAAGAAGAGGAATGTTTCCTATATCTTCTTTCTTTTGTTCCTTATTTTGAATGAATTGCATGGGCTCAATAAAGGGAACTAATTATCCCGAAAAATTAAGTACTCAATAAACTTTACATAGTTTACAAAACAGTAAGAGAAAGACTACTATAAACAAACAACTTATACAACTGAACATCTAAAATATTTGACACAAAACTGAACAACAAAATGGATCAATGGAACATTTAAATTTGAAACAAAACTGAAAAAGAAGCAGGTCAGATTAAGACAATCTGTCTTTACGTTGCTGACTATATTACTGACTAGTATCCATAACCCTTCGTGCCTTTTTTATACACTTACTTTTTGTTTTCAAAATATTCACAAACTAAACTGATTTACAACCTAGGGCTTACATATTTATAGTGCTCTAAAAAAATCACTAATGCAGAACTAGTTCCCAAGTAAACATCTCATGCAGTAAGAACATCGTCAAATAATTTTAAACAGGAAACATAACAAACTACTTAAACAATATAAGTAATAATGGGATTCTAATCTATGTGGAAATTCAAATATGAAAAAATTTAACACTTCAAAATAATGATACTAATCATATTTCAATTATTCCTCTTCGCATCATACTTCCGCTTTAAAAGAAATAAAAAGCAGCTAAGCATGTTAACCTACAAGCTAACTACTTCTAAGATTCAAGCTTGATTGCAACAAGCTAAGCTACAGAACTGAAACTTACAGCAGATATCTCTTTCTCAGAAGCATGCCCACGTTCCAGGGAAAGCAAATATCGAACCCAAAGTTCTCCAACCCACGGACAATTTTTTATTGCTCTAGAGTAAATATCTGTCACAATTTTTCCTGCCTGAGGAACATGATAGAAGTTACTTCACTTTGCAGTACCCTTAGAAAACTCAAAAGTAACAAACTAAAGCAAAACCTTCAAAGTTCTATCCAGATAACGAGTATACTCAAGCCAGAGATCACTTGATATGGGAAATTCAGTTACGGCACGTTCATACAAAACTTGAACTCGGACAGGATCTCCAAATGATTGTTCGAATATCAAGTAATCCTGCAACAATGATAACCTGTAATCTTTTTCTTTGCAAAAAGAAAAAGGGATGCTCATAATATTTGGGGGAAAAAAAAAAGAAAAAAAAAACGTTTTTCTTTTCTTTGGAAACAATAATATAAGAAGTGGATAACTTAGAGATTCAAATCAACAAATAATCCCCTCAAGATCCAAATAAGAAGTGGAAAACAAAAGCCCTTACTTAATATAACTAGAAAAACAAGTACCATGAATTGCTGAAATTTCTCAGTGTCTGATATATCCTTCTTGCTGATCTGTTCTTCCAGATGAATACGAGCATGAAACATATCTAAGGCCTTTTGATATGCTGAAGCAATATGAGAAGGAATTCCATCCACATTGCTGGATTCAGAATCAAGCTTACTCCCTTGTTCCACCTCCCAAGCCTTGTACCCAAGAAGTAATGACCTCAAATTAGCAAGAGGCACAGACAACTGGCGATGAAATAAATTTCGAATGCGTTGGACTTGCTTTTCTCTTCCCTGTAAGAAGACAATAGTAAATGTAGATTTTTCCAATGTGATAGAACTTCTCAAGACATGATAAAAAAGATTAAAGAAGCTTCAAATGACAAGGCATTAAGGCACTGTTACTGCAGAATTCCACCAGCATACACAGGACAAACATATGAATGCTTGCATATACATGTATCTATATATATTGCATACATAGACAATAAATATTCAACCGAAAAATATATCTATACATAAATACACACACATGTAAACATGCATGTAAGTTGCCTCCGAAGAACAAAGTAAATCTGCTACAGCCTACTCAAAAATTTGCAGCAATATTATGCATTTTTGTTCTGCTACATCTATTATCTAGACAGGAAGCCCGTCCCTAAAATGCCAAATTTCTAATAAGTTAATGGGCACAAAAATACTGAAAAGCCAACCATCTAGATTTCCTGGTTTATGCCTTGAATTCAGAACAAACTGTTTGACAATTGGATGGGTATGATACTCTGCTAATTACCAGTGCACATAACCGCTAACTTCAACATCAACGTCAGAATCAAACATGCATACGCCATGAGAAAAAAACAACACTGTTTAAGAAGGCATCAAGAGTTCATCAAAGAGTTAAATTCCCTCACACGGTCAATGGAGACTTTTCATTTAGTGGTCCACATAGTAAATTATAAGGGATTAAAATTGTCCCAAGCCCTCCACATCACAAGTTAGAAACTTAACATGTTAATCCTGCATGCTTATTTTTCGTAATGAGAATACTGTATTAGATTAATTATCTCTAGAAAATATTTGTTTTCAAATGGCAAGAAGTATTCTCCCTCAAAAATATGAATACAAATATGTTAAACCATAAAAGTTTAAACCAAAGAGAAGACTTCATTAATCCTATGGCGGTAGATTTCCCCCAAATTTTCGCATTGTAAATGCTTTCTGTTATTCCCTTTCTTCACTTTTATTTTAATAATAGACTTTTCATGGTTTATGTTACAGCCTTATATACGTAAGGGAAGGCTACGTGCTGTCTGATAGAGGACTCCTCACCACACTGCTCCTTTATCATCCCAATTTAAGCAATTTCAGCATCACTCACAAACACCATATTTGTTAGTTTTTGCAAAACCATTCTCATGAAATATTAAAATGACACATGAAAGTGGTTTTGCACTTTATTTTAGCTTTATATTTTATCTCTGCAAAAGAACCATGCTACATGAGCTGATGGTATATAAACAGGTTAGCTCTCTACCAACCTCGAAGTCAACTTCACCAATAGCGGGACAAATTGCTTGCTCAAATTCCCTGTATGCTTCCCATATTTTACTACCTTCAGTGACATGCAAACCAGCTGCAGTGACAGCACGCTCAAACAAATTTCTTGCTTTCGAAATACCGTCAGGTAAGCAGTCGCGCACTGAGGGATCATATTCTTGCACAAAATTGAGGTAGTCACACCACAAAGACACAGACTGCAAGAAAAGTAATATAATAAATTATTTTAACTTTTAAATAACAGTATTAGACGTCAGGAAGTAGAGTAAATTGTCTTTGAGATGTTTCAATGTCAAAATATTGGGAGAACTGAACAACATTAGACATCTAGAAATTTTGAGTCAACTTCAGAAATCTTAAGAGGGATAACAAGGTTCCTAAAACTCTTGAACCAAGAATAAGTACTGAAAAGAAAAAAAAGCAAAACCACCAGTTGTGACTTCTATTAACATAGATATTACAGTAAGGAAAGAAGGTGCCTACTTATTCTTCAGCCTATCACCACAGTCCATCCAACAAAAAGATTTTTCATTTTTCACTTTCACCTTTCTTATTTATAATAGTTATGGAAGCTTTTAGCATATTATTGGAAAGGGCAAAAGAATTACATATGATTAAAGGGGTTATGGTTGGCAAAGGTAATTCCAAGATTGAGGTGTCACATCTATTGTCTGCCACTGATGCTATCATATTCTGTCAACCAGGGGAGTCGACAATGCTGCACCTTCGTTGTATTCTGTTATGTTTTCAAATGGTGTCAGGTCTAAAAATTAATATGTCAAAATCGGAGCTGGTTAAAACTGGAGGTAGAAGAAATGAAATGCAAATGACGGAGGTATTGGGCTGTAGAGTGGGAGATCTACCTATGAAATACCTTGGACTCCCTTTGGGTGCAAAAGTAAAAGAGTCAAGAACTTGGGATCCAGTGGCTGAATTGGTTGAGAAAAGGTTGGCAGGATGGAAGAGAAATTTCCTTTCAAAAGGGGGTCGATTAATGCTCATCAAAAGTAAATCTACCGATTTATTACATGTCAGAATTTACTATGCCAATCGAGATTGCAAAGAAGCTGGAAATGATTCAATGCAGATTTTTATGGAGTGATGAGGTAGACAAAAGAAAGTATCACTTGGTTAGGTGAGAAGAGGTGAAAAAACCATATGATGAAGGTGGTTTGGGGCTGAGATCAATGGTGAAAATGAATAAAGCATTGCTAGGAAAGTGATTGTGGAGAAAGGGAAGGGAAGAAAATAGACAATGGAGTAACGTGGTTGAGTCAAGGTGGGGCAATAGAAGAATGAGGGATTGCGGGGAGACTGACGGGAGGAAATCATAGCAGAAGTCTATGGATGAAAATCTTAGTGGCCTGCCAGGATTTTTCAGCATGCACAAAATGGTGTGTTGAAAACGGTGATAAAATAAATTTCTGGGAAGATGAATGGGCTGGAAATTTCAAATTAAAAAACAGATTCCCAAGAATATTTGAGATCGCGCAAAAAGGGGACATGAAAGTTAAGGTGGCATATTCTGGGGATGGGGACTATAAATTATGGGATGTGCAAGTTAAAAGAAATTTCAATGATTCGGAGATAGATGAGTTTCAACAATTAATCAGTTTGATCTCTCAAGCAAAAATGGGTCATCAAGAGGATTTTAAACAATGAATGCCAGAAAAAAGTGGGGTATTTACTGTAAAATTGTTCTACAAACAACTTGAAGGAGAAAAGAGAATAATGGGGACAGATTTTCCACATAAGCAAATATGGAAGACAAAGGTACCGCCAAGAATGGCTTTTTTCGCTTGGGAAGCTTGTAGAGAATGTATACTAACCATTGATATGTTGATGAGAAGGGGCAGATGCATGGTTAATCACTGTTTCATGTGCAAAGCTAATGGGGAATCATGTAACCATTTGTTGCTAGGATGTCCGCTGACTTACAAATTATGGACAATGATCTACGGACTTTTGGGAATAAACTGGGTAATAGCTGGCTCCATGAAAGCTGAAATATGGGCATGGACAGGTTTATGCAAAAAGAAAAACAATTTTATGCTTATTCCATCATCGTTCTTATGGGTAGTATGGAAAGAGATAAATTCAAGAGCTGGGGGAGGGGATTGAAAAGGATTTTAATCACATTATGGATAGATGGATACACTCGTTTGATTCTCTATTGTTGGGTCATGATATTTCTGATGTAGAACTATCTCAAAAAAAAAAAAAAATTTCTGATGTAGATGAATTTGGAATTATGCTAGATCATTTGATAGAGATGTAATGCTGCGTAACTGGGTGGTACCCCTTTGCTATCTTTTACTAAAACTTCTTTTATTTCAAAAAAAAAAATAGAGAGAGAATAATATGGTCTAGCATGAACAGCTGATGAAGAATTTCCTACTGCAGACTGATGCAAGGAAAGACTGGCAATTTATTGTAGCACC